TTATTGTATTTTAATATTATTTCCATTGTATTTTATCACTTTTTTTTAAATTTTTTTTTGTTTATGTGTATTAATAAAACATTTTCTTATGATTGTAATATATTTAAGATTATGTACGCTCATTGAATTGAATTTGAAACAATTCTTTTAACTGAGATTAATATTTGGAATCAGTTATAATGATGAATAACATTATTTAAAAATCTTAAGGTATATTATAATGGTATTGGGTCAGATTAAGAGAAAATTCATACTATATGTAGCTTATTTGTGATTCTATAGATTTGGGGGCTGTATTTTAGAATATTATATTACTTGTTACTTGTGATATCATCTGTTATTATGATCATTGCCACAGTCTTAGACGACTGTGGTAGTGACCAGTTTTCTGAAATAAGGGTACTGCTAAGAAAATGTCACTGACTAGTGATTATTGTCGTAGTTCTAGATTTAGGTTAAATTTTAGACCTTATAGCTTATACCACTGAATTAAATACCAATTTGGTTTTGTGTTTTGTGTGAGTACAAACCTCAAGGCTTACATAAATTTGATGGGCCCAGGGCCCAATCTAGAACAAACACTAAAATTGTCTAAAAACGCCAAACTTAATTACTAACAGTTAATTTATTATTTTTCAGTTGAAACATTAGCGTAGTTGTAGGTATACTAATATTAGAAAAATAAAAATAATATGATAGTAATAGGATGGTAAGTTTTAGTGAAATAGTGAATCTTCAATATTTTTTTATTTCAGAGGATAATACCATTAAGTTGGCTGCAGTCGGTAGTGTTCTAAGGAGGTCAATATAGACGATTTAACATGATAACATTTACTCTTGTGTGTGCAAAGTAAACGCTCAAAAGGTTGGGGTTGCCATTAAAAAAAAAAAAAATTATGCGCATACATGAAAATATGAAATTGCCTGAAAATAGTTTAATTAGCTTAATAAGTTATAAGTTATAAACATAGTTATAACTTATAACTATGTTTGTTAAGCAGCAACAACAAACAGAATTCAAGTATACTTACTTAAATATTTGTAAAGATATTAAGATATAGTGTTTCCGACTTATGAATACACACTGTATTTCGGAAGTTTGCCATCTTGTTTAATAATCAAATATAGACTTGAAAATAGAAACTATACGTGGCTATACCATTCTGGTGGTGTAGAAATATAAACTTGCAAGAATATTTGAAATGTGATTGTACAGAGTGTTACATTCGCACTACCCAATTTATGCCAGTGCTAATTATATATTGACACTAAGAATTCAGGAATTCATGCATTTTCACACTAGTTTAGAAAGTAAAAATAATGAAATATGAAACTGTTTTGATTCGATTTTTGGAATTCGTGTAGCAGGTGATCCACAACCTATTTTTAGGTGTATCCGCGACCGGATTTAGAGGGCGTCAAATTTAATACAAAAATATTTAAAAAAAATAAATATAATAACAATAAACTAACTTAACCTACTATCGTTTCGTATCTTGTGTATCTTAATTTTCGTGTTACTAACGATACAATTAAATTTAAGGTACCTAATGTATATTGAGAGACAATTCGTATTTGTTTTATTTGATCTCCTTAGCAAGGATGAATATTGGCCATTGGGGGGCTTAAGCCACCTCAAAACGTAATCAAACCACACCAGACAGTTGAAGAGTCTAAAAATATATGTTTACATGAAAAATATAGGTTTACATGGATCAGACAAACATGTTAAGCCCCCCAAAATTTGATCAATTATCCTGCCTGTGTTCATTAGTTAATTACCTACAACAATGTTTTTTATAATATTTTATAATTAAACAGGTGAATTGTAGATAATATGTCTATTTAGATAACTGTGCTTCCACAAGTGAAATTAAGTAATGGATCAGTAGGTTAGACGTTAGGTTAGGTTGCGATGCAAAGAAACAAGCCACACGATCGCCAACCGGATGACAGAGTTATCCCAAAGCGCAATTCTAGTCAACAACAGTGACTGGAAGAACACTCCCCACAAAATTACCACAAAATTTCTAAAAATTAATCTGAATTGTTGCAAAGTGGCGCAACAGTTGATGCTACAGACAGCTACTGAAAAAATGGCAAACGTACTAATTATTAGTGAACAAAACAAAACTTGCGAAGACTGGTACGCAGACACGGGGGTTAAGGCCGCATTGAGCTGCTTAAAAAGGGAGCAAATCCAGAACAGAATGGGAAACCTGGAAAAGGATATGCATGGATACGGTTCTGGAGATATTCCTGTTACAATGCTAAAAATGCCGAATGGGGATCAGAAATTAATGACCAAAGAGGTGATGAACTCTCGGCACTTATAGCTACTCTGAACTTATTATTTGTGTGCAATAGAGGCTCTATGCCAACCTTTGAAAGATGACCTATAGTAGCTCAGTCCTCGGCGTTACATTCGCATCACGGTTAACGCCAGCGTAAGTTACCGGATGGAGGGTGATGCTGAATGAAGAATCAATAAGGATCGACCATAAGTACTTGCATTATAATGTAGCAATGCACATGGGAAAGCCGAGAAACTCAAGGGGTGGGCGTGGAGGAAACTTCAACACCCAAAAACTGAAGGAATACCTCAACAATAATAATACGCCCACCAATGGGAGCGACCTCATGGAGGTTCTTACGTCTGCTTGCAACACATCTATGCCGAAGCGAAACTACACACAGAGACACCATAAACCCCAATATTGGTGGATCCAAAAATCGCGAACATGAGAAAAACAGTTTTTGCCGCCAGAAAACGCTATCGAAGAGCAGTAAAACGAGGTCCAGCCGAGGACGAACACCGGAATTTCAAAGAAGTAAAAAAAAAATCTACGCGTTGCAATAGGAAGAAGTCAAGAAAACAGTTGGAAGCAGCTATGTGCAGAAGTTGATTACGATTTGCGGAGGACCCCATATAAAATCGTCATGAGGAATATAGGAAGACGGATGCCTGTCCCGTCAAACCTGGTTCCTAGTATTGTGGCCGGGCTTTTCCCGGCACACCCTTGGCCGGACGAGAGGGCTAGTTGGCCAAACACACCTGTACCTCCAATCACGCCTCGGGAGCTCGAATGTGCCGGGAAGATACTAAGAGTAGGGAAAGCACCTGGGCCAGATGGAATCTCCGATGAAGTACTGAAGAATGCAATTAAGCTACAGCCACAGATGTTCTTAAGAACGTTTAGCAGCTGTCTCGTAGAGGGGACATTTCCAAAGCAATGGAAACAGGCAAGGCTGGTACTATATAATATGGTTAAATATAATTTTGTATCAATTATTTTCATTTTTCATAAATTTCGACAAGCTTCCCATTATTTTAATTTTAAGTGATTTGTGTCCAAGATTGGTAAAAAAAAAAAAATACACTTGAGTTAATGTTCAATAACAAATTTTATATATTGGATATAAATATTATACTTTTTTTTTATCACAGTATCAATTTACAGTATTGAAGTTTAGTAAATAATACTTCAAATATAAATTTATAGGTTATATTGATTGTATACACGAGTCTTATATGTATGAATATTTAAAATGTATATTGACCTATAGTTTATAGATTTATATACATAAAAATGTATTTTTTTTACAAATTCCAAAGTATCTAAAATTATAAAGGGGTACAAGCAATATATTTTGTCTTTGGTACTTAAGTCAATATAAAAATAAATATACAGAATACAATAATATTAAAGTTAATTGTACTTAAAGTTAACCAGTAAGCATATTATAATTAATTTAAAAAAAGTTGTTCTTTAAGAATAATTTGTGACTTTAACTGAGTTCTAATTAATGTCTTAATATGTAAAGTAAAAATCATATAAAATAAATATGTTTCACAATATAAGACATATTTAACTTTTGGTTCAAAATATAAGTAAACAATTATAGCAGTGATGTGGTATTGCACTTACTATTAGTGCTAAGTAAAATGTATATCACATAAATTTATATATATTTTTATATTACAATAAAACGCAAGACCTCATAAAATTAAATTAAAATAATGTTTTAGTATGGTAAAAATAAAGTTATTTCAAAACAGAAACATTATTAAGAAATCTATGTGGTGTGGTCCATAGACATGGGCCAATACAAAAAGACTGAACATTAATGGAAAAGGTAATATTGAACCTTGAACAAAAAATACTAAGGTAATTATAACAGTTGGATACTAAAAGTCTGATGCAAGAGCAACAAATTGTAATCAAAATAATGGTGCATTTTGGATACTCAGTCAATTATAAAAGTTAAACAAAATATTCACAAAAATAGTGTTACGCATAGTTTATTAACTTAAGTTATTTTAAATACTGATTTGGATTTAGTTGATAAAATGAATATAATTTGTATACTACAAAAAACTGAATACTAAACAAATTAACATAATTGTTTAAAGAATAAGTCATTTTTTTTAAATTCGGTTTAATTTCCATAAATTATTAAGGATAAGTAATGATCAGTTTAAAATTTTTCAGATATTCAGTCTTGTGTGTCGACAGTAATTAGTTTTCTTTTGGTTAAAAAGAGTATACTTATTGTAACGTGATACTTCAATAATTCAGTTGGTAAATAGTTATTCAATTTAATACAAAAATACTAAAAAAAAAAACTAAATATAATATACATATTATAATTAATTTGTATAACAAAAAATACTAGTAAAAAGATGATAGTTTTTACCATTAATTGATCGATATACGAGTAGATAAATACATGGTGGGAGTGGGACAGTGTTTTTTTTTTTATTAGCAATTTGAGAAAATAGCAACACTATGTCCCACTCTCTCTAAACTAAAAAANAGCAAAAAAAATAACAAATTGGATACAGTAATATATAATATATATGTATCTTTATACGATAAAGCAATAAACTAAAAACGTAAATTAACATTGAAATAGAAAATAATTTGGCTGATAAATAATATTATTCTAAATATATCATAATTTATAACGACGTTATGTATTACAGTGATTGTTAACAATTAAAAATAATAATAATGATAAATTTGTTCAGATAGAAATGTTAAATAAACGTATAAAATTCACCTAATAAACTACATGAGATGAAGAAATTTTACAGATCCTTATAATATTGGTCGCGGTTACTATTTACTTGGGAACAATGACTCATATGAAGGTGGTAGATCTTTATCGGCAGTTCTTACTTCGGTACCGCTAGCCACCATAGAATCGGGTGGAGCTGAAGCTATAATAGCCATTGTGTCCAATCGTGGTACTGGTTGCATTTCTGAAGAATGTGGATGGCTATTAGGGTTGCTTATACAACAAAATGCAGGTCCGCAATGCCTAAATATCCATAGGAACGCAATGAACACTAAAATCATGGTAACCAAGCAGGCAACTGTTGCAGCCACAATTTTAGTCCCAAAAGTTGTGCTGCTCATATAGTTACTATTGAGTACTGACACTACTGGGCGACAACCACTCTCATCTTTACAACTTTTGTATGGGCAATTAACTTTCCCATCATTGAAAAAATCTTTAAAAATACACGTTTTTCTACCACAACTTCTCCAATGACCATTGTCAAATTTACATTCTATGGAATGAAAAGTAAATTTATTATTATGTTTCAATAAATAGATTTAACAGGGAGTTTTTAAATAGTATAATATATTTAGCACTCTATTAACCTACAAATAATAACATACCTTGGAACGCTGTGAACACAATCTCAAATTTTAGTTCATCACTAGATTCGATAGATTTATTTCCAAGATATATTTTAACTTCGATTATACCCTTATGATCAACAAATGAGTTTTTTATTTCTTTATCATCATTTCCGTCATTTCCTTGATTATATTCATTACCGGCATTGGCTTCAAATGCATTTAATTTTCCACAAATTTTTTCACCCCAGCTGTCTGCCGACTTAATTTTAATATTTAAGTCTAGAACACTTAAGGTTTTTTCAGCATGGCGAAACTATCAAAGTAATTAAATAACAATTAAACATTAAAATAAATAACAATAAAACATAAATACGTACTTGAATGTAATCAATACATTGTCCTTGAGCATTACGTCTAAAAGACATATGCTGTATGACAGCAAAAACACCCAACCCAAGTGAAGAAGTTACTGTAAATTTACAATTAAATTCGTGTTTGCCAGTCCATTTCTGAAAATATTGGTTATCTTTGATTACCATAGCTGATTGATCTTCGCGACCAGTAAGGTCTAAATTATTTGAAAAGAAACTCATCGAACAAACGCTGTCATTTTCCATGATTTCTATAAACAAAAGGGAAAAAACAATTTTATTATTTTATATTAATAAATAAATTATTGTCTTTAAAGTCTTAATTAGTGGCACATTTTAAGAGGATGTTATATCCGCATGTGTTGTCTCCGTCTTACAAGTACGTAACATACCAAATTTTACGCTCAGCAGATCACGTTTAGCTCCGCGAGTTTAAAATTTATAGTGAATTGATCTCTTATAACAATTAAAGGTAACATTATTATTGAGGGCTTCTCATGGGCTTTTAAAATTAAAATATAATAAAAAGCCTATGAGAAGAGCTAGATAATATTTGGGATAATAATGTAWCCTTTAATTTTTATAAGAGGTCAATTTACTTTAAATTTAAAAACTCACGAAGCTAAACGTGATCTGCTGAGCGAAAAATTTGCTATGTTACGTACTTGTAACATGGAGACAACACATGCAGTTATAATGTCCTCTTAAAGGGTGAATACTCCAGTGTCAACATTTTAAATGTAAATACTCTCGGTCTGATAGAATTTATTCTCATGACAAGTCACATAAGAAGTATTTTTAATTTATGATTCTAATTAACATATATTTATTTATAAAAATGTCTAAATTCAATTATTTATATTTGACTAACTAATTTTACTATTTAATTATGGTTTTAAAGTATGTAATACACTATATAGAACATTGTTTATACCTAATGAAACAAATATTATAATTTTTTAGTACTTCCTAATTTACGTAATGAATTTAAAGATATGAAAACAACATTTTTACTATATAAGCCCGTTTTTTCACATGGACGCATATCATATGCGATGTATTGTACCCATATGTTTTTAGTTTACATCTATTAAGTTTATAAGCTCTATACTGGCATATAGAGAAACACATCATTGTCAGAATGGCATGTATGAATTTAATGAATGTAACTGAAAACGTGCACTTACTTGCATGCAGATTACAAGCACTAATGCCTAATTGATAAAATAAAGACAAATCAATATACCTAATGATATACATATTTTATTAACTCGAATTATTTGGATGGTTTACCAATCAATTTAATTCCAAAATAGTTTTTTTTAAATACCATTGTTTTCAACTCATAATTTATAGGGCCGGCGCTACCTTTTTGCGAAGCCCTGGGCAAAACTGCCAAAACTTCTTTAACCAATAACCATAGTCACCTATGGCCTAAACAATTTCCACACAAATATTTTTCAAAATCTAAATTTTAAGCACAAGGCCCTGGAAAAAGGTACCACATTACACCCCTTCTCCATCAACACTGGCCCTGATAATTTGTGTCTTATATTGAAAAAATAGTGTAATATAGGTCTAAAAACCTAGGTATAAAAATATTTGTATGTAAACAATCAGCTCCATTGCAAGGTCTATTGTATTACATAAAGTAAGAAAATATAAAATATAAAACATATGATATTGTGACATAGTCACATAGAGACATAGAGTTAACTAAAGTATGATGAGATGGGAGACAGACTTCTAAAAGATCAATAAACTATTAACACATATTTTGATTTTTGTATAAATTCATCAACAGATGAATACAAAATTAGCGTATGTTAACAAGTCTGAATACTTAAAACAGTTTTGAATGAAAACAATTTTGTTCATCATAATTACTAAATTTGATAAAACAATTTCATATTTTTCAAAGTAGGATATGACCAAAAGAAAATTCAAAAATGTGCACAAAATCTGTCTAGATTATTTATAAATTCCGGTAAATTATAATAGATAAAAAAATACTATCTTACATTAAAAACTAGCTGTTTGTAAGTAAAAAATTTAATTAAATGTAATTCAGTGTCTTAATTGTGGTGAGGATATGAGAAATATCCAACCTCCTCTCTAGAGCATTCATTTTTTTAATAATGTTAATTAAAAATTTAATTTTCATAAACACTTAGCTATAAAATATTTTGAGATTCCAAAATAATAATTAATGGACAATGGTTAACTATTGTCAGTATTATCACAGTTAAAGACTGATCAAAAACATACAACTTATGACTTCTGATATCATTTTTAACCCCCTAAAACTTATACCATGGCTCCAACCATGATTTAAATATACAAAGGTATTGTGTATAAGCCTATATTATTGTTATAAAAGGAAATAGAAAGACAGCATAAGGGTACAGTCTATGGCATAATGGGTTATCCCCTAACGCTGCCCTTTTAATTTCTTAATGTGATAGGTACAATGATATAGTGGGGGTAATATTGGAGGTAAATGGACAATTGGTCCCCACATAAAAATGCTGTATGCAGACAATCAGCCCTCGTCATAATTTTAAACAAGGGCAATTGGTCCCTGCCTTAAAAGTTATCTGCAGGGGCGGATCCAGCCAAAAATAGCGGGGGGGGGGGGGGCAGTAGTATTTCATAGACATAAATATAGAGACTGTTTCCAAAAAATAATAATTAATATACACAATACATTTTATATGTATATGAATTTTTTAGAGAACGGGGGGGGGGGATCACGTCAAAATAACGTTTTTACATAATTCTTCAATATAATACATAAAAATCATTTAAAAATCTTGAAATTTTTTTAACTTGGAGGATATTTAAATGAAACAGACCCATGGGGGCTCTGCCCCCTCACCCTACCACTGTTTATATACCATTTTAAATATCAACATTATATATTTTATTAAAATACATGTATTACCCCGTGTATTACTATATATAAGGGAAAAATGTTTTCACTAAAACAAATAACAACATTTAGGTACTTATATGTAATATATTATGTTATAATTGCAAATGTCGGTTCAACACAACAAATTTGACTTATCCCATTCAATTTAATAACTTCTAAAACTATTATTAAACTTAAATAATATTCTGAGGGTAACCCAATATGGATAACAATATATCATAAAAAAAATGAATCATAGTTTAAACTTTAGAAAATAATTTCTTCAAATAACAATTATAATTGTATAAACAGTATACTGTTATGTAGATGTAGATTAGATGGTTAATAAAGGATTTAATACTTAAATTAAAATACAAATTTGAGAGGGGCTAAGCTCCTTCAAGTCCCCCCAAATTGCGCCTATGTACAGGACTACTTGAACATTATGCCATCACATAATATTATGATATATGTGCTATGTTCACATTATTACGATTATAAAAACTATGTATTGCATCCTGGAACCAATTACTAATTAGTAATTTTACCGTCACTGATGAAATTCATTAGTTGTAGATATCATCTTTAATATTATCCTTAGAATTACTTTGGATTTACTAAAATGAAAATATTTTTGTTTAATACTTAAATAAAAATTAATAGTTTGAAGAATATCATCACTTTACAATAAATCTGTAATTATAAATTATGAAATAATATCAAATTCTAATACTTGTCAGCCATAAGTCCATAACACTATAATTCCTTGGCTGAGTCATCAGAAATACAGAATATTTTTTATAGTATAAAGATTTAAAAACTTATTTTTGTAATGTCACCAATATGTCCTTTTAATCGACCACAGTATGCGCCAACAACTTTTAAATACTAATTATTCTAGTTTCAATTAATTAGCCTTAAGTAACTACATATTACTCATAATAAATATATAAATATATGAGCAACAATAAATCAACTTAGTCATAAGACAATTAAAATTAACATCTTAAGAGCTAAAGAAAAGAGTTGTTTATGTACAGAGCACCGAAATTAAAATACACAGTTTAGTGACCTCTGCAGTGGCCCCTGGACCCTATAAAATATTTAAAGTGATGTGTTCTAAGTCGCTAATAACTTACTTTCGATGTATGCCGTGGCTTGGCCCAAGTACAACACGACCAGCAACCCGTGTGTCAATGACGACATAATATTTTTTAAGCTTCGGTATACTTGAGATGAAGAGGCTTAGAACTGAAGGCAGAATTTACGAACAACACAAGATCAATTGCGTAGAGGAACACTGGCGGTTCGGACCATGTAGTTGTTCTTTGGCCACTGAATAATTTTATCGCTTTTCGGCACTACAACTGCTGTCGTGCATAAATATATTTGTATTCATAATATTTATTATATTTCAAAATAAAACAGACGCGAACTAAAACACTTAATAACACTATATAGTTACTAACTGAGTCGCAGACGGCASACGCTCAGTGCTTGCTGCAATACTGCATAATGATTAACATTTAATGTTGTTATTCAGTTATTGTCGATTGCACATTTGACATTTTATTATTATTATTATTATGAGGGTTACTAACGCACACACTCACTGCTGCACTCGTATAGATTACCCACACACGCACACCACTCACACAGCTAAAAACACAACCACAGTCGTGTACTAACTACACACACATAATAATACTCACGATTAAAATATTATCACAAGAATCGTACGTCGATTGGGGAGGGGGGTGGAGCGGATACTATCAGACTATCTAACCTAACCAGACACGATATTCCAAAAAATTATTAAGATATATTCCAAGACTTGACATGCCGTGACGATCGTCGTGGCGGTGGCCGCACTGTCGAAACGGACAAAGCGCTGCGATGATACCAGCCGCGCACTAACACAGCAACTTGTTGATCTCTTACAACATTGTGAGCGTTTTAAATTATAATTTATAATAAATTATACGTAACTACGCCAACGGCTAAATTTAATGCTAACGTGCAATATACTTATAGAATWTATACAAATCCACAACATAGTCTATGCTAATTGTTTTATTGTTGTATTTAAAAAAATTGCTATTTACAAATTAGGTACGAGGTACCTACTTATATATCTAGTAAGCACCTATATGTGAATATGTCGTAAACTCGTATAGCCATTGGTATTCATATCCAATAGTATAATGTACAGTGTACACGGACATAATATAGGTACCTACCTCACTGGGTACCCTCTTCACTCACGTCATCGAGCCTTGTAAAAAAAAAAAAAGGTAGGCGTATAATTATTGTAGGTAGGTTGGTAGGTATCTATATTACTCTGCCCCTAACGTCCTGTACGATTGCCCGAATGATTTGGATGGCGGCGACTTAAACAATCCAGTGAACGCGATTGGAAACRATATTGATATATTTGAAAAGCTATGAAAGCCATGGAAATGTATAATAATAAAAAAAAATTATTTATCACAATATCGGATGTATTCACGTCCAGCTTACTCCCTGCCCAGGAGCATGTTTAAGGGAGTCCGTGTCTTACTCCTACCCATTCATCGTGTCAATGTGTCATATAATACATTTTTTATTATTTAGAGTATTAGGTACCTAACTAAACATAAACCAGTAGATGAATGTCTATTCACTGCATTGGAAACAATATTTTTACCGCTTTTGAATTATTATCCAAATATTTAAAGGCTTTTAATGCTATTTGCAACTATTCCTGTAACAAAATGCACATCTGAAAGGTCATTCTCTTCACTTATAAGAGATTAAAAAGCTACTTAAGATCAATATTATGGAAGAAATAATAATAAAACCTGAAGAAGTAGTTGATACGTAATATGTAAATAAATACCCCAGACGCTGTTAGTTATCATAACTACAAAAAACCTACTTAAAAATATGTTTRATTATAYATTTTTCTAATAAAATGTTATGTTTCTATCAAAAACTTGTATTTTGAATTTTGATTATTTGGTCATGAATGATGACAACTTTTTGAGAAGGAAAATATGATGAAATAAGTTATAATTAAGATTTGGGACTTTTTGCACTTAAAATTATCAAAATATGCAGTCAAAATCATCAAAATATGCAGAAATTTTTAATTTTTAATTTGAATAATGCATAAAGTATATTATTAATTATAATTATAAAAATAAATATCTAAAAATTAGGTAGGTTGGTAGGTATATATAAGTCTGTTGTCTGTATAGGAGTCAGGATTCATTAGATTTAACCAGAACTATACAATTGTCGATATTGTCGATATTGTCAATAAAAAGGTTGATTAGTAAGTACTTAACAAAGAGATTATCATCGTAAACAGACGTACGTGTTAGATACGACAGGCTACGACCATCCTAATTTTTCCCGACAATTTTACATTTATAAAAATGTTAAATATGCCCAAATATGCTAAAAGTTTCTTAAATACGTGTTTTTCTTAAAATATGATGAAACATCCAAATTATRTAAATTCAAACTTTGTATTTAATTTCATCATTTCATAAAACAAATTTATAACTCACCTAGAATTTGTTCGGTAGAAAAGCTTGAAAATTTAATACAAGGCTTAGAAGCCTGTGTTAGAACACATTGTAACAATAGCAGTTTTAAAATACGTAGGCACGATTTTTTTTTATAAGCATTTAAAGTTCAAATTTTGACTAAATACGTAAAAATTACGGCAATGTTCAAATTATCTTAGATAGAAATTCATAAAAGTTTTTCTTTTTAATTCTAAGATTTGAAAATTTAATACATGGCTCCTATCAATAGCAATTGAAAAATAAAAGAAATGCGTGGTCACAATTTTTTTTTACAAGCATTCAAAGTTTGAATTTTGACTAAATACGTAAAAATTACGGCAATGTTCAAATTATTGTTTGCTAGAAATTCATAAAAAAATTTTATTTTAAATCTAAGATTTGATTTTTCATAATCTATAATATATCCTAGATAGATAAATCGTCTTCGCTCAGAATCGTTTTTCGTATACAATGATATTATATCATTGGATTCAAATTTAATTCCATCCATTACAGTAACCCACTTGTAACCTACTGTACAGCAGAGCGACATCCACGACTTACCCTCCTTTTTTTATTACATTCCATATATATTAATTTTATATAATCTACTTGTCGAAGATGTTTGTTGGCGAATAATAATAATTGATTGATCACTGGAATAAAGTAAATCATTAAGCATTTATATTTTAGGCAATTTTTTTTTAGATATGCCTATGTACGAGTGGTATATACTAATGTGGTTATTTTTCATTCATTGCTTATAAGGTAATTTAACTTATTTTAACATACAAAAACAACTCATTGTGAGTTTGTACTTCTAATATGTCATAAAATTACAATATATATTAGATAGTTGTATTTTTAATTTTTTTTTAGATGAATTATTAATATCCAATTTCTAGCAGTTATATGTGTTATTAAACTTCTAAAAAATGTAATGTGTTTTTAAATGTCCGATAAAACCAAAATCAAATTTAGTCATTAATTAGAAGTACTCTAAAATTATACCCTATAATAATATTTATTGATTYAAAGACATTCTGGAAAAGATTTGATACACGATGGTGTAGTATCTTCGATAATCTTGCCTTCCTCTAGAATAAGTACTCGATCATAGTCTACTATTGTGGATAATCTATGCTAAATTATAAAAACATAATAATATGTTAATAATATATTGCTACTATAACTCAATATGTGAATACTTAAATAAATTGTAATTACAGCAATTGTAATGACAGTTCGGCCATTGAATGATTTTTTTATTGCTTCTAATAATTTGTTTTCTGTTACATCATCTACAGAACTGGTCGGTTCGTCCATAATAAGACAAACATTATCTTGCAAAATAGCTCTTGCAAGACATAATAATTGTTTTTGTCCACTGCTTAAATTGTCACCAGAATTATTTACTATTCCTTCTGTTAAAATAAATTATAAGTATAATTAAGTATGCAATTTAAATTTTAAATTTTATTACCTATGTCTATACATTTTATTTAATTTAAAATTAACCATAATTTGAATTTAAAAATGTGTTTTTTCTTTTTGTATATTTTACAAAAATACAACATATCCACGCTTAAAATTGTTGTACCTATCTATGATGATATTTAATATATCTACTGAATGATTGTGAGATATTCATCTTACCAAGTCCTCCTAATTGTAACTTGACTGTATCTTCCATTTGAGCCATTCTTAAACTACTCCAAATCTCATTATCTGAGTATTCATTTTTTAAATCTAAATTTTGCCTTATTGTACCACCAAACATTTTGACATCCTGGGGTATTACAGAAATCCGGGATCTTAAGCTTTGYAAGGGAACGTTATTAATATCAACTCCATCAATCATTATTGAACCATCTCTAATTGGAACCATATTTAAAATGCTCATCACTAAAGATGATTTCCCACTGCCGGTTCTACCACAAATTCCAACCTTGAATTTTAAATTTCTACTATTAGATTAAGTACTAACACTTTTTTTTCCATTATGTTTTACTTTTTGTCCAGGTGGAATGTTTAAGCTCACGTTATTGATAACTGGTTCTTGATTTTCATTATACTTTACCGATACCTTATCTAAGACAATGTACCCTTTAGTCGGCCAAGCTCTTGTAATTACTGCTGTAAAAATTAATTTCATTCGAAATAAAGGTGTATAATATATACTAGATACAATTATTAAGATAGGTCGTGAGTATCAAATATTAGTTTACTTTCGCTTCTATAATTTTCGATTGGGATAGTTGTGAATTCCTCGGTTCTTTCTACAGCGCTCATGTACGTTTCTAGGTCCGCAAAAAACTTGACTACCCAATTTAAGTACACAGGTACTAGCAAAGTATAATTAATAGCTAGTCCAACCATTGCTGATGAAATAGCGGAAGAAAAAAACGTAGTAGTTATTAAAGCCACCATAGTTGCTACAAAGACTATTGCTCCGCCTAAGTAATCCTGGGTACAACATTGATAATGTTACAAAATAAGTTTTCTATATTAGTTCAAATGACTGAATAATAGTACAACAAAAACATGAGATTTAATTTAATTTTATAATTATTATACACTTTATACAGGATGAAATTGGAGTACTGACAAAAAAAAAGATACTACTTACACGTATGACGAAGGTTGTGAAAATTATATGGTTMGCAAATAATTTAAGAAGTACCTAATATATTTCAGGAATTTTCCAAAACTATGAAAAAAGTTATTACGTTTCAAATTAATTTACTCAAAACATTGATATTTAAAAAAAAAATCTAAAAATAAACCATTTGACTCAGATAAATGTTTTTACCATCAAAATTGTTCTCATAATCAGACTTATAAATTGGCTATTTTGTACTTTTGGCTAAATTTCAAAGCTTTTTTTTAATCAAGTGAAAAATTCTAAATCGACAGTAATTAAAAAAAAAAAAACTAATAAAATTCTCATTTGTCTATTTCCTATAAGTAACTCAAAAAGAAAATGGTATAATAAAAGATTATATAATAATATACAATGACAATTTTCGGAAATTAAACCCATATTTTGTATGTATAGTTTGTTACAAATGTGTCATATTATGATAYATAATTAATCTTGAATATTATCATGATGTATAATGTGTTA